TCAAACAAACCAATAACATAGCACCATCATCTTAAAAAGCAAAAGAAACTGAGTGGTGGTTTTCTTGGGAGGACACAGAATTGTCCTCTGATATTCTTTCTATCACTTAACAGCTTCATGACACTGAACCAGCCAGTTATCCTTGCCATGATTTATCCGTGATATTCAAATAATGTATCCATTCATTCACTTATTCAACAGATATTTATGGAAAGTCTCTTATTATGTACCAGGAAATGTACTTAGGACTGAGAAGTGAACCCAAAAGACATCACCACTGCCTTTGTGGAGAAAACTATATAGTGACGAAGCTAGGTATTAAATAATGAAACACTAAGTAAAAAATCCAACTTGTGTAAGTTCTATAAAGGAAAAGAATGAACACCATTTGCCACTTGAGATATTAATATTCTATCAATGCACACAAATTTTTCTCAGGGAAAAATCCTGTTGCCCTCCTGCTGTGTATTCTAGAGATGAAGAAAGAGACCCCTGAAAAAGATGAGTCCAAATTGTCTCTACCATTTCCCCTGATCTGCCCTTTATCTAGTTCCAAGAAGTCTTTACCCTCATGTAGTGACATCAAAGGTGTATTTTGATTTCCATATCTGGGTGGTATCTCACTTTAATTCCACAGAGACAGCGGGTGTGTGATCTGGCTCAGCATGAAATGAATCCATCATTTCCCTGAAGGTGAGGTTCAAAGTGGACCCTGAAGTACAGTTCAATAATGAAGCACAGTGGGGGCACTGGAGTACCAGGCGGGATCAATACTGCACAGCAGGTCCCAAGGTCTCTCCCAGCTTCTCGCTCATCTGCCTAAGACATTTTTTTCAAAGTATGACTAGGAAGAAACCAGCTGATGAGGAGAGACAGTACTATCATATCGTGCTTTATAACTGAAAATGGTACAGATGTCAAATTCTCCTTCACTCTAGTGCACCAAAAAAGTAAATAAATACATGTCCATTTATATATTTACAAATATACACTAAGATCAGAATTAAGAGTTTACTTTGGCAGACAATGTCGCTGTACAAAGCATAGTTAATGAGGCAAAGAAGAAAGTTCTCATGTTATTTCTACATGTTATTTTTTCCAAAGAAAAATAAGAACCTAAAAATTATTAAGCCATATATTTTCATAATATTCAAGAACCAGTATTAACATTACTGAAAATGATGGAGATGCCTAACCCGAACACCTTACCTAAAGTGAAATTTACTTAAGTGCCC